TTTCCTGCCTGTTGGCCATGGTGGTGTGTCTGACTATGATCTTAGGAAAGCCACCCTACTACCTGGGTTTTCACCCTTCTCATCTACAAAATGTTCCTCCTCCTTCATATTTTAATATGAGAATCATATGAGAGTGCATTTGAAAACACGGGGAATCAACTGTAAAGCATTCTTTCAAGATCATGGGTTGTAGTAATGACTCCATAGCATCTTACTATGCTGATAGTGACTGCAATGGGGCAGGGGGTGAGGGCTTGACAATATGGGTGAATGTTAAAACCACAAGATTGTTCATGTGAAACCTTCATAAGATTGTATATCAATGGTATTTTAATTTTAAAAAGTATCATGGATTGTAGCTATCTATCTAAATTAAGTCTTATTCAAAAGTCTCCATTAAAATGGCCTTAAGGCAGTTTTTACCAAACATGCCTGACTATAAGAATCATCTGATGATAGTTATAAAATTCAGATCACTGGGGCTCACTGTAAAACTACTAAATTAGAATCTTCAGAGAAGGGACCTGAGACTTATTTTTAACGAGGGCCCATGTGACTCATGATCTCACAAGTGGGAAGTTGTTCCCTGTCAATACCTGCTTACATGCAGCATGTCTGGAAACATCAGGAAAGCTTGCTGATAGTACCTGCCCTACACCCAACATGCGCACAAAAAAACCCAGAAGGTAATTAAGTGCCAAAAACAAAAAACCAGCAATGGGAATATATCAAAGTATAAAATAAATGTCCATGAATCTATTCTGATAAAATGATTAAATAAATAAATGGTGTAAAAAAGACAAATCTCCCATGTAGAAGAATTCCAAATCATTTATGCAGATATTCCACCCTTAAGTGTGTGTTGCAGGGCATAGAGATTTCCTTTCAAATGAAGGGGGAGGAAAAGAGACTCAATTTTTGGAGAAACCTTAAAACACTACCTCAGCCAGGTGATCAAATATCCACAAAAATAAATCACGTTGATGGACTGTGCCCTTGATATGATGTGATGAGAAGGGTCCTCTTCTCTGTGGTCCTCTCCACAAAAGCCCTAACTCCAGTCTAATCATGAGAAAAACATCAGACAAACCCAAAATGAAGAGTATCCTGTAAACAGCTGGCCAGTACTCTCTGAAACTATCAAGGTCATCAAAGTGTGAGGGAAGGGGAGGGGATAAAGGGGCACAGAAACTCTCAGTCATAGTATAAGTCAGTTACGGGGATAGTGGTGCAGTAGGGAGAATAGAACCAATGATTCTGTAACATCTTCCTATGTTGACAGTAACTGCACTTGGCGGGATGGTGGAGAGATGATTTAATAATGTGGGTCACTATTGAACCACTGTGTTGTGTATTTGAAACCAATAGAAGACTGTATTTCAGTAATACTTAAATTTTAAAATTAAAGATATAAATCAATGTTCTGATAAATTTGGAAAATGTTACTTTCCAAGTTTCCATTTTGGAAGTTCATTACAAACATGAGCATATTAAAATCCTAAAAAGACTTTTAAGAAAACAGTTTCATTTTGTTTAATCCAGACTTCCCCAAAACTATCTGACCACAAGAGTTGTTTTTACAGAAAACATCTTAACTTGTATCTAATTCAGAATGCACCTTGGAAATGCTAAAATGCGAGACACGTTAACAGTTATCTCCTGGTAGCCTAATGATTATTTTTCCTTACATAGTCCTATTGCTTTCAAATAATCTGTGATAAGCATGTCAATTTTGTAATCAGAAAAAAAAAGTGTGAAAAACTGTCACAACCAAGAAGAGCCTAAGGAGATGAGATGACTGTGTAACTGGTATCCTGGACAGATGGGATCCTGGAACAGAAAAAAGGACAGTAGGTAAAAACTAAGGAAACCTGAATAAAGTATGAACTTTGATTAATTATATATTATAGTTATTTGTTCACTCACTAGTTGTGACAAATGTATCATGCTAATGTAAGACATTAATGGTAGGCAAAACGGCATGGGGGGATGGCAACTCTGTACTAGCTTCACAGCTTTTCTGTAAACCTAAACTATTCTAAATTTAAAAGTTTACTTAAAAAGGAAAAGAAACTCTGATTCAGAATGTATGGGGTAAGGTCTAATAATCTGCATTTTAACCAGCACCTGTTTCTCATCTTGCTTTTTGCTTCTGCTGGGTGGTCACAAGTCCATCCTTTGAGAAGCACCATCCTAACTAAGGTCAGCTCCCAGTCTGGCCTTCAGCCTAAGCAAAACTAGCATGAGGCCACATTACCTGGGCCTACAGTAAGTCTGCTGATTAACACTATAACAGGTATTTGCCAAGTAGGCCAGTTCAGCCTCTGTTCACCTGTGTTTCTGGGATTAGAAGAACAGGTAATTCTGTCTCTGGTCACCAGCAGGAAAAGGTGTGGTGGAAAACAAAGTAGGTGCTGGCTTCTATTTTGAGAGTAACGCCCATCTTAATGAGTATCACAACACCTTAGTCACTTCCCTTTTGTTTATGCTGCTTCCTTTCCATGTCCCACATCCTTGGGCTCCATCCCGGGTAAAAGAAACCAGGTGCCAAGCACTACCCCACCAAGGGGCCGGCAAGGACGGCCACAGCAAGTCGTGTACCCTGGGCCCTTGTTACCGACAGTCATTTCTCCAATCCCAGCCCTCAACTCGTCACATTCCTAAGGCTTTCTGTCCTCCCTCACACCGATAACACCAGTGCCTGTCCTAGGTGAGAAGACTATAGCACTGACTTGGATTACAGCAGAGTTTAGATACATGATCATAAAGATCTAGGTAAACAGACTGATGAGCCCTACTAATTTATATGACTTTATTAAAAATTCAGTATCCAAAGGAGAAAACTGGCAAGAAAAACAGGGCAGATCTCAGTCCTAGAAAGACAAAGGACACTAGGAGCTGAGTTCTTTTTAAGTCCCTGAAAATATTTAACCATGAATGTCAGGTGATATGATTTTTCATCACGTGGTCATTACCACTGGGTCTGTGTGTGTGTGTGTGTGTGTGTGTGTGTGTGTGTGTNCTTGTTTTTCCAGAGGAGTTACCTGGTTTCAGTTGTTCCCTCTGAGTCATATATCAGAATGGCTTTTTGGGCTTCAAGATGGCCACTCTTAAGCTAACTTATTTCTCAGGGAGGTTGGGGTCCTACAGTCTCTTCATCTTCGCACAATCTGTGCTGTCTTAACTACTACTGCTGTTCCTCACTAAGTTTCCCTCCCCTTGATTCAATCTGTTCTGTTCAGAGTCTAGAAATAGAGACCTATTTTCACAACTGATTCATGATGACCTTGAGTGAGATTATGGCTAATTAGGAATTATCTGTGGAAAGCATTCCCTTGACCTCAAGAGACAGCCCTAACAGAAGCACAAGCACCACTCTGTGCCATGCGCTGTGAGAACCACAGTGAGAGAGCGCTGAGCTCTAGCACCAGTGGATCAGCATTCCAATCCCAGATCTCCCACTGACTGACTTTGTTAGCTTGGGCAAGTTGTCCTCTTGAGCCACAGTTGCTTCTCTGCAAATAGTTGAGCAAAGAGTGACTGACTATTCCAGTTTGCCTAGGATTCTCAGCTTTAGCACTGAAAGTGCTGTGTCCTGGGAAACTTCTCAGTACCAGGTAAACCAGGGTGGTTAGTTCACTCTTGGACAAGCTACCTGAAATCCTTTATGGTTCTAGTACTTCTGGGTCTGAGACTCAGGTGCTTCTCAAGGCATGTTGTCTATGCCCTTTTTTGCGTGTGGACTGAGTCACAGACAGGGAGGGTGGTGTCTGTATGCCAAGAATTGGGCAGGCTTCCTGCCTCCCGACCTGTGATTCATAGGGGATGCTGCAGAGCATCATTCCTCACCTCTCTAGGGAGAAACGGTCAGCTGAGAATGGTACACTCAGGCAAGAGACATCCTTGGGTTTCCCAGTGGGAAAGAAATTCGAAAACAATTGACTAATAAGAGGGATTTGTAGCAAATGTTGAGGCTGCCAGCATTCTTGCTAGTGAGCCAATGACCTTTTAAGCTGGTATGACTGACTAGCTTCTTGGCCATCATCCCAGTGAAGGTTCCTTTCCCAGTTTAGTATTCAAATCTCTCTTGGCAGTAAGGCTTTTAGCACCCTCAGGTGTAGACTTATTCCAGCATGAGATCACATGAAATCAACTTTGAAATAAAAAAAAAAAACAGCAAGTGACCCCCCCCCCACCACTAACTGCTGGTATTGACAACTGAATCTGTTGTCCTTGTGACTGTCAAGAAAAGGACCACTGGACAACTTGAATCAGGAGGGAAGACAGCTGAACTCAAGGTTTTGAGTGGGTTTAACACACTGCAAGGGACTGTAGAGGCTGCCAGCTGGCACTAAGCTGTCTCTAAATAGAAATGCAGCTTGCTGCAGATTTATATTTAATTCAGAAGCAAACTTTGTAATCACATTGTACATTTTCTGTGTGCCTGACTACATTTCAGCTTTTTGCTTAAGATCAGCTTCTATTTCTATCTCACCTGATAGAATAAGTGTGACCCAATTTCCTTCTCAGTCATTCCTTCTTGAACCACTGGCTCCAAAACAGACCCAGTTATTGAGAGGTGATGGAATGTTTGTGGAGAAAATAAAAAAAGCTAGATTAACACAGCTATTTAAGGAACAAAATAACAAATCAAGGAACTTCTGTAACTCAGCAAATGAAGATAGCAGTTATGTAAAGTCTCTTACCTACCCTTAACCAATCAACAATACAGTAAAAATCAAGTTAAACTGGTTCAAATATACAGTAAAATCAAGTTAAACTGGTTTAAGAAGTATGTGCTAAATAATATTTCCCTCTACCAAACTTACTCCTCCCCCCTATCCATGAGCTCTGCTTTAGTAGGGTTTAAGGCTATTTACTAACAAAGGAGACTTTTAGCCACGAGTTCAGGAGTTAATTATGTGGAAACTAATTATGATTCAACTGAAAATTCCTGTTTACACATAATCAAGATAGTAGTGAAGGGAAAGACCGGCTCAATAAGGAGGCTCTGGGCATGCGACTCTAAATTCCTTCAGTTGAAGGGTATTATGTTACCTAATGGACTGTGAAGAATTGACAAGATATTTGCTGGTTGACCTAGTACACCCTGGTGGGTGGTCAGAGCTCTCATAATCGGCAAGATTGGGGCACCTGCCCTGTTCCCGGGCCTTGGAGTTTGTTACAGCCTCATCTGTGGGGTGGGAAGATGGGCCAGGGAGGGCTTTTGACGTCTTTAAATCCCACCTGGGAAGGAATTTCTGACCAAAGGCCAGATGATACCAAAGTCTGATCCAGCCCCGAGGGTGTTGCCAGAATACCCGGACTGACGCGCAGCCTCGTGGTGCGCAGCCTCGTGGTGCCGGGGCCAGCACCGCCCACTCCAGAGATGCCCCTGGGGCGCCCACCACGCACCAGGGACACTCAGCACAAACTCTTCCCCACATCTTTTTCCTGTAAGAAGAGGAGTTCGTGGATGTGGTAAGTTCATGGGAAAGGCTTGCCTTGTTTTCCATGGTGACGTTCTGTGTTTAAAACTGATTTCTGAGACTTGGTCATGGGGGGATCTGTCCACTGCCTCATCGTGGTCCTTTGAAAATAGCTTGTGTTTCCTTAAGTCATTCACACTGAGGTTAATTGGCACCCACTGCTTTGTTCCCCTCCAAATCGAATAGAATTCTAAGGCACCATCTGTAAAGAGGAGAAAAGGCTAGGGTCATGGTCGCATTAAGTTCCCCCCAGAATAATATCACCCTGCTTTCTGGGCATAACGGAGCCTAATGTGGACACGGAATGCAGGCTGGGGGCAGGGTGCAGGTTTGTCCTGACTCTGCCTGGTGTGCCCTGGGCCCAAATACTCTGCCACAGCATGTACCCAGCTTCAAGCGCAAAAGCTTAGTGGTTCAGGCTCTGGTCCCAAAGAATACAAAACACAACATGACGGATCTACATTTTGCCTCCCAAATGGGGACACATTCTTCAGTGTGTTTCCACATCTTCCAGGAAAAATCAGGCATGTTGTGCCTTTTCTGCAGGTCAGCTATACAACCTGTTTGGTCTGCAGGATGTGCTGGGAATCCTGTTCCTCTGGCAGACTAAACAGTCTCCAACTGCCTTTGGAAGTTGCAGCAACTGGACAGTACAAAGGTGAGTTTTAGCAATTAAGAATAAATAATCGGATGGGCAGGGGGGGATAAGGGGGGGAGAAGAAGGGGGGGTATTAAGATTAGCATGCATGGGGG